GTAGAGAATTCAGAGGCCTTTTGGTGAGTGTCTCTGGTTTACAGTAGTGCTGCCAAATAGAGCCTGCCCCATACAGCGCCACCGACAGTTAGGGTTGTTTCCATGGGACCATTTTGTTGTCTTTTGTCTTTGAATATCTCTTTGGATTTGAGACTTTAGTCTTTGCAAATTTACAGATCTTCTTTATGCACCAAGAGCTTGTAACACTCCAAAGAGAAAGGAAAAAATGAAATCGCATCATATGACCCCTTTAAAGTTGTGTATTATCACAAGACTGCCGACTGTGATATTTAGTTTTTACAATCAAGATGTTAATAACTTGCATTTCGGATCATGTTTGGTCAGATAGTTTGTATATATTTTTTTCTCTCTCTCTGCCAAAGGTTCCAAAACAAGCCAAAGCATTCATTTGTGTGTGTCATTAACTGTAGTAATCGAATTACAAGTACTTATATTTTTGGAATCTGATTATGTAATCCAGATTACATGTAATCAGTTACTACCCAGCACTGCTCACAGATGTGTGTGGTTAGACGATGTATTTGACATTAATAACTGTAGGGAAAAACAAGGAGGTAAAGAGGAGAAGGAATGATAGGATAAGAGTGAAGAGAAGAGATAAAACATGAATATCAGGGTCAAAGGCCGAGAGAGACCGAGTTGAACGAACACCAAATATACAAATCATCACAGTCGATTTTCGTAATCGATCCGAACACAAAACAGGTCACACGGGTCTCATGGGCTCCTCCGCTCCGCTGGAGAAAATGCATCCTAATCCCAGTTTATTTTTCCAGCAGAGTTTAATTTGCTTATCTTTGGCTGCGCTTGAAACATTTCAATGCCAGACCTTGCTGAGCTTCTGCTTGTGACGCTGGATAAAACTGCCTTTTGAAAACTTCTTTTGAAATTGAACACATCTATGATGTTCATGGTTTATAGTCTCTGTCTCATGAGACGGCAGCTTTCTGCGCGCATGTTGACAGAGCGGCTGTCTGGACTGAATTACAGCTGGTCTAAAGGGGCTTACTGAGCTGATAAAAACAACACAGGCCAAGGAAGAAATCAATTGTAACAATTTTGTTATTTCTTTGAGCAGATTTAAGATCAGAAGAAGTTAGTATAACCAAACTGTGCAGAAATCCAAGTAACCTACGACATTTCTTTTTTTCAAAATGTTGCCAACCCTGTGATTATACAGTAAAAATGAACGTTACGAGGTTGAAAATCAGCACAAGAGTGTCTAATAAATGTCCAGGGCTGGGTAGATTACTTACAAATTGTAGTCCATTACAGATTACAGATTACATCATGAAAATTGTATTTAATAACGTAATCCAAGTTACTTGTTTTAGGGAATGTATTCAGATGACTTTTAAATGACTTTTTACCTAACTTGGTTAAAATGTAACATTAAATGTACTCTATTGATATAAACCATATTATTTGATATCAACATCATATTACATCAGGGTTTTCCTAACTGGGGTTTGACAAGAATTCAGTCATAAAAATGTAAGATAGAAACGAATGATTTTAAAACAAAAATCAAAATAAAATGAACACTAAAAATAGAAATAATTAATTTGTTTACCTGCACGTCAATGTGACCATTAACCGACACCAGGGAACTGTGAATATGCAAATGTCTTGTTAAATTATTGAAATTGAAGTATTTAGTACTCAATTTTTGGAATCTGATTTCGTAATCCAGATTACATGTAATCAGTGACTATCAGCACTGTAAATGTCCTTTAAAATATCATCCCATGACACATTGGTTACGGTCAGTTTCTTGTGATTCATGCCAAGAATGACATCTGTTTGTAAATGAGATTTTCCCACCTGTAACAGAGTTGAACTCGTGCCAATTTAGTAACACTTAATTTTAAGGTGTCCTTGTTACACACGTCACACATACTTACTATTATAATAAATAAATTATGCATAATTACATGCAAGTAACCCTAATCCTAATCCGAACCATATAGTAAGTACATGTAGTTAATTAATATTACTCAGTATTTAAATATATAACTACACTGTAACAAGGACACCTTAAAATAAAGCGTAATCGACATTATATAATAAAGACTGTAGGAGAATGCTATTCTTTTCGAACCATCTGGTCACAATTTTCGACAAACCATTATTTTTAAAGGGGGAAATGTCACAGTATAACAGGGTTGAACAAACCGATCCACAACACCCATGAAACGCATGCAAAAAGGAAAACCAATATGACTTTTATGACATTTTATTTCAAAACAAAAGAACAGTTAAAAAAGTTAAAAAACAAACAATGTAGTCATGATCCGAGTCATTTAGAGAATGATTCATTTACATGATTCCTTTGAAACGCATATAAGATTTAACATGGACATACATGATTTCTCTGATGTTAATTACCCATAAAACCTTCATCAAAACAGGGTTTGGGAGTCATATAAACACAACATTGGCATCATAGTGGCACTGCAATAACTTAGACTCAACAGAAAATGACAAGGGCTCTTTAGAAGCAAAGGATTGTGGAAATTGACACTGTGATGTATTATGCCAATATTATATACAACATGTAATTATGAACAAACACAAACTCATCTATCAAATGTGTTGGATTCAGGCTTTGGCAAAACTCGGTTCCAATGTGAAAAGCTATTTGTAATCTTCTGCTGTGGTTATTCATGGTGGATAAAAAGCAGAGGCTATAGAACTCCTGCAGGGAGATCTTCTTTTGCTTCTGCATTATTCAAAATCTCAGTCATGCCTCAATAATATAAAAAAACACACAAACAAAAAAAAGAAAACCTTATATAAAAAATCTACACGGGGATACATAGATTTATACATACAGCATGTGTAATGTATGATCATTTGTACTAAATTTTTTAATAATGCACCCATACACCTTTACAACTGTGACATGTGCAAAGTAAGGTGACGTTGCTTAGTTTACATACATTCCAGATTTTTCTCTGATGTTTCAAGTCCGTGCCCATAAACACCTTAGTCTCTTCAACATACGCCATCCTAAAGAAACAGGTCAGCCAAAAAAGACAAATTTTGAATGAAAAGTTCATCATCATTGAATGATAACAGAATTTCTATTTTTGGATGAACTATTCCTTTAATTCATTATGGTCTGGTACTTTGTAAATAAATTCAAAGACCAAAAAGCAACATGCTCACCATCCTTATCAAAGCCACTAAAATCACTATTGCACAAATAAATGTCAATTACCTGAACAAGCAACAGCCGTATGCCTTCGTATGGCAAGCCATTTTACCAAAAACATGTTTTTGAAATGGTTGAATTTTGCAAATACATTTAGTTGTTGAAAGAAAACCTTTTCATCAAACACAACTGGGTCTCATTTACTTACTGCAGGAACAGACATTTTCATGCAGAAATCGTGATTCCTCAGCATATTCTTTACAATAAATTTATAAATAAATTTACAATAAAATGTAGAACCAACTAAAATCACAGAGTGCATTTGTGCCTGCCCACTTTTTTCAGCAGCTCTGGGTCCCAAAGTATTTTTCCCATTCATTTTTTTCCATAGGGATCCAAAATAAAAGTTTTTGTTTACATAATATATGTGTGTGTACTGTGTATGTTTATTATGTATATAAAAATACACACACACACACACGCATGCATATATTTAAGAAACATTTTATGTTTATATTTTAAATATATTTATATATAATATAATTTATATGAATATAAATATATACATGTAAAAAATACATGTAAATATTTTTCGAAATATATACTGAATGTGTGTGACGTTTTTGTTTACATAATATATGTGTGTGTACTATGTACATATTCATAATAAATGTACATAGTACACACACATATATTATGTAAACAAAAACTTTAATTTCGGATGCGATTAATCGCGATTAATTGTTCGACAGCACTAGTTTCCATACAAAGTTGTGAATTTAACTTGTGCGCAAAATTGGAATATCACATAAAACATTCGCGAATAAAGCGAGTTTCAAACCAGTTATTGTCATTGCATGTCATTTTTGATGTGCATTACAGAATTAATTTTGTAAATGTGTTTCCATCATAATTTATGTGCATGTTTTCTTATTAGAAAAAAAACGTATCCGATTTAGTTGAGCTCATAGGTTTTTTATGTGCATTTTTAGAATTTGGGCATATCTTGGCATTTCCATTCAGAATTTTTTTTTGTTTGTTTGTTTGTTTTTTGCCGATAATGCACATAAAAGTAGGTGGATGGAAACATAGGTAATGAATGCTGTTTTTCTTCCAGAACCCAACTGTTGTGCTCTATTCTACATCAAACCCTTATATAGAGATTGGTGTGTTTATGCAAATTAGTAACCAAGGGTATGCGGTCTTTCAACATTAGAAAGTTAAAAACCAATTCATGTGCATAGTTGAAATTTTTTTTCTGTCTGTATAAGTGTGTATAAACCCATGCAATGTTTAGTAAATGAGACCCAATGTTTAGTTTTTGCCACTTAATGAAGATGACCTGTATATGGTGACGTTTGTCAAAAACGTGCATATATTTTCTCAATCGTTCTGAATGAGAAAGCTCCCAAAAAGTTACTCATCTTTCCTCTTTTATGGAAATCTCCTTCATGAGATGGTCCCATGTGCATGCAATTGTGAAACATCCATGAATCCATTAATGGAACCAGCCACTTCCATTCTCAAAGCTTGGTTAAACTCACAAATGGCGCCTGCTGAGAAGCTCTGTAGGTGAATTTTCCATTTCTTTGCGATGCCTGGTGTGTGTGATTCTGAGTGTTGCTCCCTGCAGAGTTTCATGGTGGCTTGTGTTCCATTTCATTGTTCTATCAGAGGAGCAAATGCCCTTGATGCCACAGGTGAGTCTTTGTATGGAGTTTTATTGCGTTAGGCCACACATCAACGGAATTTTGAGGAGGATATGGAACATTTATATTTCCTGTTTACTTCCAGTCTCAGTAGTCCACTCAGATGTGCCGCATTACACACAAGGCCGAGGAGGTGGGCGATCTGGAGGAGGAGCTCTGTCTGGAGGCGGGGCTTGAGGGGGCGGGGGCAGTGAGGCAGGAGGGGATGGTGGAAGAGATGTGGGCGGAGAAAAGTAGAGAGTGTTAGGAGACGAAGACCAGATGGGGGGCGGAGAATAGGATGGAGGAGGAGTAATGGGTGGAGAAGGGTTGATGGCGTGAGGTGGGGGCGTAGAAGGTGCCGGGGGAAAGCCGGAGGACAGGGAGGCAGGTGGACTGTGTGGAGGAGGGGGCAGCTGGCCCTGAGGAGGGGGCGGGCTGAGGGTGCATGGAGGGGTGTAGATAGGTGAAGAATGGTGGTTGTAGGATGGATAGCGTGGAGGAGAACTAGACTTGATGCGAGTGAAGTTCATACAGCGACCCTGAGAGAGAAAGACACAACAAATGATTTCAGACATAATATTTTTTGAAAGAAAATATGCTGCAATGCTTTCCCGCTGTCAAGGTGTTGCTATGTGGCAGCTGACAGCTGCCATGCAGTTGTTAGGGTGCTGTGGGTGGTTGCCAGGGTGTTGCTATGCAGTGTCTAACAAGTTCTTAGTGGTTTTTAGCATGTTGTCATACAATTGCTAAAGTTTTTGGCATTGTTGCCAGGATGTTGCTATGTTGTGGCTGATGTTAGGCTGCTGTGGGTGGTTGTCAGGGTGTTGCTATGTGGTGGCTGTTGTTAGGCTGCTGCGGGGTGGTTGCCAGAGTGTTGCTATGTGGTGGCTGTTGTGAGGCTGATGATACACTGGGCAACTTTTTGAGCAATGTTTCCGGGCAACCAGGTGAGACACAGGACCCACGACCAATCTAAATTATCCAGACAGAAATTTGTTACCCATTATCAATGGGAAAGTGCCCAAGCAGCATTGCTCAAAAAAAGTTGCCCGGCAAAATTGCTCAAAAAGTTGCCCTGTGTATCATCAGCCTGAGGCTGCTGTGGGTGGTTGCCAGGGTGTTGCTATGCAGTGCCTAACAGGTTCTAAGTGTTTTTAGCATGTTTCCATACAATTGCTAGAATGTTTGGTGTTGTTGCCAGGGTGTTGTTATGTGGTGGCTGTTGTTAGGGTGCTGCAGGTGATTGCCAGGGTGTTACTATGTGGTGGCTGCTGTGGGTGGTTGCCAGGGTGTTGCTATGTTGTGGCTGTTGTTGGCCTGCTGTGGGTGGTTTCCAGGGTGTTGCTATGTAGCTGTTGTTAGGCTGCTGTGGGTGGTTGCCAGGGTGTTGCTATGTTGTGGCTGTTGTTAGGCTGCTGTGGGTGGTTTCCAGGGTGTTGCTATGTAGCTGTTGTTAGGCTGCTGTGGGTGGTTGCTATGTTGTGGATACCGTGTTTTCAGCTTGTATCCAGAGGAACATGTTTTGAGAGTTTTTGTGTTTTTTTTTTGTTTTGTTTTTTACTATGTTGCAATGGAGTTGCTATGGTGTTCTCGGTCATTGTCAAGTTGTTGCTATACAGTGGGTAGCATGTTATGAGTGGTTTTTAGCATGTTACCATGCAGTTGCCGAGCATATCCACAAACTTATATTCATAAGTTATATGCATAACCAAAACAATCCAAGGTTTTTATTTAGCACAGTGGCTACATTAACAAATAACCAGACGCCACCCGATCTAAATATTCCCTCACAGTTTAATAGTAATGACTTTATGAATTTCTTCACTGATAAAATAGATATCCTCAGAAATACAATAACAAATGTAGATTCTACAGCGTATAATACTTCAACTTCATTCATCGCACCAAAAGATAAATGATTTTCCGTGCATTTCTGCCATATGTACATTAACTGACAGTCACCACTGATAAGCTACTACTAAATATATTGTAGAAACTTAATTTTCTGTAAAGTTGCTTTGCAACGATTTGTATCATTGAAAAAAAAACATGAAAAAAAAAAAACTTGAATTGAATTGAGTTGCTACAGTTTTTGGCGTTGTTGCCAGGATGTTGCTATGTAGTGGCTGTTGTTAGGCTGCTGTGGGTGGTTGCCAGGGTTTTGCTATGTAGTGGCTGTTGTTAGGCTGCTGTGGGTGGTTGCCAGGGTTTTGCTATGTAGTGGCTGTTGTTAGGCTGCTGTGGGTGGTTGCCAGGGTTTTGCTATGTTGTAGCTAAAAAGTTTTGAGTAGTTTTTAGCATGTTGCCAGAGTAACATATTTTGTGAATTTGAGGTTTTTTTTACCGTGTTGCCATGGAGTTGCTATGGTGTTCTGGGTCATTGTCAAGTTGTTGCTATCCTGAGGATATCATGTTATGAGTGGTTTTTAGCATGTTGCCATGTATTTGCTAGGGTGGTTGTCAGGACATTGCTCTGCGTTGCTAACATATTCTAATGAGTTTTTAGCATGTTGCTGCGAAGTTGCTAAGGTGACTAAAATGTTCTGAGTGGCTTTTGGCAATGCAATTGCTACAGTGTTCTAGGTGACTGTCAGGTTGTTGCTTTGCAGCATTATTGTATTCTTTGGGGTTTTAGCATGTTGCTATGCATTTGCTAAGATGTCATGGACAGTTGCCAGGGTGTTGCTACTTATGCAGTGGCTAACATGTTGCAGTTGCTAGAATGTTCTTCACTAAGGCATTGCTATGTGGTTTATAACATGTTCTGAGTGATGTTTAGCATGTTGCCATGTACTTTCTATGAAACCACTACAGCGTTATGGTAAACAGAAACTCTCAGAGCTCGCAAAATACCCGTAACATTTACTGGCAAAACACCTTTCATGGAATCATTCATTTTGCATTAGAAAACTAACTCAGAGGTTGAGAAGAATTCAGCCTCAGAAGTCAAACTGTAAAAAACTTGTTTTGTTGCCATCATGTAGGACAACGTGGCAGATGAGAAACGTGTGTTATGTTATTTGACTCCAGTTCAGATGCAGTGAATAAGCCAGGAGTATTAGTCTTAAATCTCTGAATGCATGTGGTTGGGCAATGGGCAGCAATCATGATGGACTTTACCGTCAATAAATAACATGACAAACACACACACAGAGGCAGACTGCCATGCTGAGAGGCGTGCTGGTCTTTCTGTCTGCTGTAGCTGTAGGAAGCTATAAATACCAGACACATTTTAATGATACACAGAGTAAAGGCTAGTTGTTGGTTGTTTACTAGAAACACTTATGGAAAATTAGAGAACTCTCTGTCCCAATTTCCTGTCAACTAATAAAGAACTCCAGGTTGGCCCCAGGAAACACACACACACACACACACACACACAGTGTGAGTTCATGCAGTTAAGAGCTTATAGTATGTACTGTCATTAAGATCAACAAAAGCCTGAAATGATTTGGTATGTATAGCTCTATAAGACAAATAAGGTTATAGCGACCAACTACTCATAGAAAAACAAATGGAAGAAATCGCAATAGCAAATGTGGAGGAACAGAAGACCTGCTTTATAGTATAGTTTTAGTTAAAAGAGCCAATCACATGTTTGGTTGCCTTGGAATAGTTGGTCCTGTCAGGAATATGCAGTTTTTCACTGTGATTTAGGCTAAATAACTTTTTTTTTATGCATAATTGGGTTGCCAGATTTTATTTGTAATTTCACATATTAATACATACTCTTGACAAAAAGTAGATGAGGTTTATGCCAACTTCAAAGGGACTTTGGAAGTTAAGAAGACACTTTTAATCAAACCATCTTTAAGTACACTTGTTTTAACACAATATAATTGTGCATAATTATAATAAATTGACAACCTGTCAACTTAAAAAAAAATGCTTCAAATATTTTAAATACAGGTTCTGTTGAGATATTTTAACGTTGATAATGTTGAGATATGTTAAAAATGGTTTTGTGTGTTAAATTACTGTCTGCAGAGAGACAATTGAAATTTAAGATACATTTTTATTATGCTACTAATTTTGCATATTCTTTTGCCTTTTCAGTTCATTATGATTATAATCAATTTTAGTGTTTAATTTCAGGAACATAATTGATTACTTTTGTATTTTTTGTTTTGTTTTGTTTTTTAAATTAGTCTTTATCTTCACTTATAAGCACAAATAAAAGAAATATCAACTCATGTACATGGTTTATTTTACCTCATCTAGCATCCTGATATTTTAAATTACCATATAAATTAACACGCTTTCTACATTATGAAAGCTGGTAAAATTCAAAAGCTTCATATTCCAATAATTCCAAAAAAATATTCATGTTTTCCTATTAAACCAACAACAAAAACTATGAATTGTAGCACAGGAGTTATATAAGTGCATTGATTCAGCAACCACACTTACAAACAATATAGTTGAGATCCATGGTTGGATTTAGTTCAACAAAGACTTGGCTGTATTACACTTTAATTTGAGCAGATTATCTCAATGTAAATCTCTAAATTTCAATGTAAATGTTTGTCAATGTTTTTTGGATCATCAGCACTTCCTCTGCAGTGTAGAGGGAGCAAATGCACTTTGCCAGGTTGTAAAGATAAAGTAGCAGGGCAGGACAGAAAAATCCTTTTAAGGGAAAAGGGGGATTTTAACTCTTGACATCTGGCAACCCCAAACATTAAAACTCATGGAGGTCTATATATTTTTTCCTCTTTTTTTTTTCTTTCTTTTTTTTTTGCTTAAGAAAATATATAGAGATTTTGATTTCATCGATATTGCATGTTGATATAGTCACAGTTTGGCTCTGTGTCCACCAATACTGTTGCTTTGGTAGTGCCTTCATTTCAGTATATTCATTTACCACAGCAGACGCATGCAACCTTCTCTCCATCTCCACGCTGTCTCTCTCAGAAGTAGTCGGGGCAGCAGCCAGCTCTAGTTTCTTTTTAATTTTACAGTCGCCAGACCCTACAGTTTTAATAACAACATGCCTACACTTCCTGTAACTGCTTAGATCAAAATTCCTCTTCCTCTGTTAAATGCCATGTCTTCATTCCTAGACTTTTGTCTTCTGCTCTGCTCAAACTGTCTTATTGTCACCACTTACTCAACTTCAGAGTGCATAGAAAAATGATCACATTTCAAATCAAAAACTTAACTATGCCTTCCTGTTGAAAAGGAAGTATTGATGTTTTTAACCAGTGCACATGTTAGACATACGTATAGACAACAGGATACGATTTATGTGCACTGCGGCCAACATAATAATACATATTTGCAGTGCAAAGGTGGAAAAGAAGTCATATCTGAAGTGGCATATATTCCATACTTATGCCAGATAACTTTCAGAAAAAAAAATATTTCCATTATCTAAAATAAAAATGAAAACAGGAGTTTAAAAACAATTGGGGGAAAAAATACACATCTACTCTAAAAATACAGTTATTTAAAATGTTAACCAACATAATTTTAACTAATAGTGCAAATAAATAAATAAAATTTCAAAGGTATGATACCCCTGAAAGGGACATACTGA